AAAAGGACTTTTTATTATCTTTGATTTTGGACGCAAGTCCTAGCTCTATGTCCACCTTAGCTTTCCTGACAGCCCCCCTACAGGCCCGAGCAGAGGAGGTATACTCCTCTTTGGAGATAGCACCCCCCTTCCACCGGTTGTATGCCGCCTTTTTGGCAATCAGGCATTCCCATACATCCTTAACTTGGAAAAGTTAAGATGAATCAACCAAGACAGAAGTCAACAAGCACATAAACCCTGCTGCCATTCAGGGGCAATGCGACTTTAGTGATATTGCTGCAGTCCAAAGGCACTCAACTCCTCATTTTACCCACCTAGCTGAGTCACTTTGACCTTACTGAGTGTTCCCACATCAAGAGCTGTACACATCACTGTTTCAGATGAATACTGAATTGCTTAGGCTTAAAAAAAAAAATGCATAAATGTGTAAAAGTTCCCGGCATCAACAATTAATTTATTTTTATTAGGTAATTATTTCTCCAGTTTTAGGCATGCAAAAATATATGCAATAGTGACTACAGTATTCTCTGTGGAGCTTTCAACAACTTCTAGAGAGAGAATAGCTTGCTAATTATACTAACACTTTGGGCCAAATCTCATGGAATGCATAAGCATGCATGCCTTTTAGTTTTCAATGCTTTTTGATCCATGTTTTTATCTACTCAGTAAACAATCTGACTCTTTAGCACATGGTGGTGGTGGTGGTTGGGATTCACATGCTGTATTTTATATAACAAGTACAGCAATTCCTGCTTCTGAAGATCACTCTCTCACCTAAACTGCTGCAGCCGGGGGTGGAAGGAAGGAACGATATGGCAAGATACTTGTAAGGCCAAGCCTCCTCAACTTGAGCACTACAATCAATGCTTTTGAGGGGCTGCTCGGACCCTGAATATTGGGAAAGTTTTAGGTGCTGAAGCAGACTTGGCATTTTGCACTGTTAGAGTGCTCAGACATTCCTACGACAAGAGGCTTTACATGCATTCTGTGCCGAAACAATGCAACAAGGTAAGATGGTGCTTGCCCACTTGCAGACCATGTGTGACACTCACAGAAGTGTCAAAGGAATTTTACTGATGCAACAATAAGCCTCTGCTCCAGATGCATATGGACCATACCAACAAGCATAAAAGCACAAAATCAAGTTACTGTGAAGATGTTAAATGAAGTTTACACATTAAACTAAACATGATTTTACAACTACTTGTTCAGAACAAGGGTTCTAAAGTGACAAAATAGGGACTGTATCAGGAATGGAACTTGTTAAAATTCATGGGAGCCACACACCATCAAAGGTACACTATTTTTCTGTATATGCAACAGACTTAATGGTTACATATTAGACATGTTGCAATTATGGACCCAACTCCTTAAATGTCATGATCTAAAAAGCCACAGGTAAAATTTGCCTTTAGAGAGTGAAGTCTGTGGAATTTCAGTTCTCTGTTGCTGGTTTCATCATATTCTGGACACGCACAATAGCTGTATTCACTAGTAATTGGAAAGAAAACAGTTCTGGTACCTCTACATTTAGGCTAATGGGCAACAGAATGAATTGTCAGATAATTGTATTGCTTATGTAATTTCTGTTTGAGACTTGAGGCACAGTCAAAGGCTGTCAGAGACATCATCTATGAATTAATGTTGCTAGTGCTGACGTCTCACTGAAGAAAGCAGTGGTTAAAAGAAATCATTTTATTCTGAACAAAGTCTTAAGCTGCCAACATCAAATTCAGAGTACCGACTTGCACAGATTGCAGTTATAGCTCATTACCATCAAATCTATTCATTTCCTCCTGCTCATTTTAAAAGCCAGATAAAGGCGTCCCTAGGAAAAGCTGTAGTCAGGTAGGGCAACAGTGAAAATGTTCATTACACTGCATATTTATATACAAAATTCACTTGCTGCTAC